CAAAAGTTGGCGTTGCAAACACCGGTCAATTTCGCTTTCAGTTCTTCAAATGACGACACAGAATTCTTCACTTTTTCCGCCTCTTCTGTTCCAAGGGAATTCCTAATAGCCTAAGCGATCACGTAACTATCTATCCTTGCTTTCTTGGACAATGGAGACTCGTGATGAGCAGTAACTGTCGTTAAGTAGTAGATTAGGTGATGTTGTCAAAAGCTTCTTCGAATCTAAAAATGACAAAATGCATGCGTAAGTTGAAAGCTTCCCTTTTTCTGCTCCTAAAAAAAAATTTTGGTGAGCTCCATTTTTCAAAGTTCAATATTGCATCATTGACATCTGACGCCTTTCATTATTACCCCCTTCTCTCTCTCTTTTTTATCTTGCAGGCCCAACTTGGAACACTATGAACCGCACACCAATGTGGAGTGGCTGTCCTACTTGCTGCGCAGGTTAATTATCAAGCTGCCAAGTATAAAAAAGGCTGCAAAAGTGTCGACTAGTCGCGGTCGTCTGGTCGCCTGGGCGGATGCAGTGCTAGCGCTGTCGTCGGCCGAAGCTTTTGTGGCCGAGCACGTGGCCATTTTGCTTGAAAGAGATGCCGAGGTACCGCCCAAAAAGAAACGTGGAGAAGTGCCTCAGACAGAGAAGCCATACGCCAAGAGCCTCCGGACGCGCTTCACGTCGCGCTAAGGCACGCCTACCGCAAAAGCCGAAATATAGATTGAATTGTTTAAAGAAAATGTTTTATATGCTAATAATTGGCGGGAAAAATGTGGAAGTCTCACAACAATGGGGAGTTGAACTAAAAAGTATTCATTGCCGTCGTGAGCACATCAGCAGCGGTGCCGTTGACAAGTCTATGCAAAGCCTACAGTATAGTAACTATAAAGGTTACCTCAGTGGATTAGCAACGCAATTTTGCTTCGGTTGTCTTTGTCAGTTTTTCTGTTTTTGTTTTCCATTTCCTTCAGAAATGAGTGGTACTCAATGGCAGTTTACGATACGCTTTAGGAAAAATGGTATCGAGTATGCCAAAGTGCACAAAAACCCGTTGGCACCACGGGAATTCAGTGCATCGGAAAAAAGCATCCAATAGTGGAGAAGCCAAAAGCAGCGCATCACATTCTGCAGCAAAACCGAAAAAAAAAATGTTCCGGGGATGGACTGCATTGTACCCCGAGCTAGAAATGCTACTCGCCAAATTTGTTTGGGAAGCTGCAAGCGAGGTCGCAACCTGCAACAACTGAGGCTATCCACGTGAAAGCTCTTGAGATAGCGTGCAACTCTGGGCTCGCGAGGGTGCAATTCTAGGGATCGCCAACGTGGGTGCGCCGATCTATGAAGCGGAAGGGCTTTGCGCTGAGGTGGCGTAATCCTGTCCTTCCACAAATCCTGCATCCGTAACACATTGAATAGAAGGGAGGACGATGCACTCTGAGATGTTACTCGTGAACAACAGACGTCGTCGGGCTCAAGTTCGGACAAGTTCTAGTAACAACACTTTGTGACCTTCTGGCGTTTAACTACATAAGATTATTGTCCAAATAAAAACGCCCTTGTGCTTTTGAAAACTATTTTATTGCATGCACAGCAGCAAATTATATTATTATTTCTTCGAAAAACCTATTTCAGAGTAAAAGATGATAAAAACATTTTCAGGTATATATGAAATAGTAATATTGGAATATTTTACAATTGCAGACTTTAAGATTGGAAGACTACATATAACACCTGCAAAACTATATTCCACCAGACATCATCATGAGTTCAACATGTCTCGTTTCAATCGCCGAACAAACTCGTATATATGCAGTTGTATTGTCATCATCATTGAATTATGGAGTGCGTTGCCCAGCCATATGAAATCTTTATCACGTGACGAATTCATTTTGTACATCGGTAACCACTGATCTTCATGCTCTGTACCTCCATGTCTTGTATTGCATTTTCTTTTGTGTTCTGTATCCAGGCTGCAGTATGTTAAAATGAGTATAAATAAATAAATATTAGGTGAATAAATAAATAAAAAATAAATGTCACTACAGTGCAGCTGGTTCTGTTGCGTATTTACCAAGATAACGGTGCACCATGATACCTTGCGATTTTTGAAGATTTCTTTTTCGGAGATTCAAAGTTTAGAGTTACCACCTATATTCCGTTCCTACCTATATTCCAGTTTCGACGGTTTGTGGCGGCAGCAAGGGAGTGACATACCCATAGAGCCTTGTGGGGAGAAAAATTGGACGCGATGATGGCGCCGTCTGGATTTTGTCGGCAGTTGTAAAAAAAAAAATTGGAATATTACTATTTTGCTTATAACTGAAAATGTTTTTATAATCTTTTACTCTCAAATAGGTTCTTCGAACAAATAACTACGAAAATATTGTTTGTGTAATTTATTGCTATGCAACACATGGTTTTCAAGAGTACAACAGCGTTTTGATATGGTTGCTGGCATTTTGCATAGCAGACGACACCATAGTTGTCAGCTTCTACCTCATGGCTGCGCCCGCTCGGTGCAGCAGCCCCTTTTGTCAATTTCTCTCGTTTCCATATTGTATATTGTGTTAAACTACTTACTACAAGCTAATAAGTTTCTTGCACACTTACTTTAGTAAGTTAGGATGCCGCGTACAGGCCCACCAAAATGACAACGCTGATCACACAAGCTTGTAGCGATAAATGGTTTTCTTGCGAGCCAATCGATCGATGTTTACACAAAGTAGAGGCCATGTAAGTAACATTTTAGCATGTACAACAGTGAACAATATGCGTGCATCACCGTTCATGTGCAAAGAAGGTACGAACTACGCGTAGCCACAACTCAGATGACCGAAGCACTGAAGCACTCCAGCGCTGCCTTCAGATATTCACATCAAACGGCACGAAACCTTCGCTGGTAGAAGGTATACCACTAACGTCCCTGCACTTGTGTAGTTCAAGAATTAGGAACACCTCATTGACAGTATTTGGTTAACTTTTTGTAATTGGTATCAACATATCAATAGAGTTTCTTAATATGCACTAGAGGGAACTCTGGCGCCAGTATCTATGTGAGCTGCAACGCATGGCCCTTCAGCGAACATGGGAATGATAGGTATAGTAAACAAATTTGTCTAATCTTCGTACTTCTGGCCTGCTTTTGGATCCGTGTGTGTTCGTGTGGCGTGGAACTGTTTTCTCACGAAACAAAAATCAGCAAATGTGCAGCGGTTGCACTTCACCACCTTATTCTTTTAGACTTACCTTTCCAAATCGGGTCACGGAGTTCAAAAATATTGAATCTTTCTTTCAAAACAAAATGAAAGAACACCAATAAACAAAGCCGCAAATACGATTAGCCGCCCGCAAGTACGAATACTAGGCGAATGTGTGTGCTACCCATCATTCCCATAGTCGCTGAACGATCGCAGCGACAGAGTCTCCTCTAGTTAATTTTAAGAAACTCTATGAATATATCCACATGCCTTTCACAAACAGAGCTGCGTGACTCTTTGTTTTCTGGTCTGCGCTGCCACCTAAAGTGCGTCACTTTCCAATTTTCCACGCGTTCACACTATGCATGCTTCTGAGTGCCAAAAATTTAATGAGAAACAGCTTTTTAGGCTTATCTTAAATCTTACGAATATAATCGTCGAAAATAAATAGGCTTCGTTCGGTCTTGTTTACCTACGCCGATGATGCGCTGTCGTCGTTTCGATGGGGGTGACAACTGAAGACGCGGACACGAAGCTCGCATCATGCCACTGGCTTGGTGGCAGCCTAACCACGGGGGTTGCCTACATTGATTTCCAAGGTTTGTGCATAAAAATGTGCCGATCAACGTTACTGGTTAACGAACGTCGTTTAGCGTGTTCTTACTTTTTATAACCATGTGTCAAGAGCACTTTGCGCTTACTTGTGCATGCAATTTCCGAGAAAATACTAGAGAAAAATTAAATAAGCAAGAAATAAGAAAGATCCTGTGAACTATTTTTTCAAAGCAGGACGCTAAAACCATTCTAGTCTTTCAGAAAATGATGCAGATGAAGTCATTTATTATGACACTTTCTTTGTTACAATTTGCAGTGCTTCAAGAATAAATAAAAATGATTTTGACTCGGTCTATGAAACAGTGATTTGCATAAACCCAACCACATCAGTTTGGCAGAGCAGTGCAGCTCATATGCGGGAGGTAATCGGATCGCATGCTTCTATTACCAAGAATTTACTGCATTTTTAGGGGTGAAGCATTATAGGGACTAGCATGTCATACAATGTACCGGCATCCACACTTGTAATGACACCACCTACTACACAGTTGTGAAAAAAAAAACACACCTGCACCATCAGTATATCCATCTGTGTACACATGGATCCGTCCGTCCATTCAGGTGTGCGATCTTTAGACTAGTCGGCGACTCCAACGTATAGACAATTTGGACCTTAGACCTTGTTTACCCACTCGTCATCATTCACTCCGTGGAGACGCGTAGAATTTTCGCTGATGGCTATTAATTGCAGCTTGGTGCTTCGCTGCCCACTTGTGCGTACATTTTCGTGTCTCTGAATGGAACCATACAGAGGCTATAAGGTCTCTAAGTGTTGCTGCATTTATCTCTACCTTGCTTCAAAGCGGGAAATCGCAAATATTGACACAAAGGAGACCGTTATAATGCCCGCGCTACTTAACGTGCCCGCGGTTCTTTAACGTGCCCGCGGTTCTTTAACGCGGTTCTTAATGCCCGCGGTTCTTTAACGTGCACCCAAATCTGAGCACACAGGCCTGCAACATTTCTGCCTCCATCGGAAATGCAGCCGCCGCAGCCGGGATTCAAACTCGAGACCGGCGGGTCAGCATCCGAGTACTTTAGCCACTAGACCACCGCGGCAGGGCCGGTCCAGGAGAGATCATTCGCGATATGAACACCTAAGTACTTATAAGACTTTGCGGATTGTAAAGACGACCCTGATATATTGTAATTAAAAGATAGTGTACTCGCACGTTGTAAAAAAGGCATTAATTTGCACTTGGAACCGTTTAATGACATTTGCCAACTTTTACACCGTTTTCAATATTAGTTAAATTGGATTGCAACGTAAGTTGTCTTGGTTACAAGTAATTTTGGCATACAGCACAAAATCATCTGCAAAGAGACGTATGTTGTTAGTAATGTCGGCAGTCAGACCATTGATATAAATAAAAATCAGCAGTGGACCAAGTACCGTACCTTGTGGCACGCCGGAAAGAACAGGGGTTGTGTTAGATTTCGTGGCATTTACTACGACAAATTGCTTTCTTGTTCTGAGGAAGTTTTCTATTCAGTTGACTGCAAATGAATCTAGATTTAGCCATGCCGGTTTGTACATTTGACGGCGATGGGGTACCTTGTTGAACGCTTTTTAGAAATCGAGAAAAATTACATCTGTTTGAATATTGCTGTCGAGATTAACGTGTGAAGGCGGCAAGTTGTGTTTCGCACGATAGCCCTTTACGAAACCCGTGCTGTGCGATGGAAATGAAGTTATTGCGCTCAAGGTGGTTTATGATATTTGTTAAAATTATGTGTTTCATAATTTTTGATGGAACGTAAGTAATTGGGATGGGGCGAAAGTTCAAAGGTGATGATTTGTTACCACTTTTATATGTGGGAATAATCTTTCCTTGTTTCCATTTGATGGGAACACAGCTAGATGACAAGGATTGAGCGAAAAGCAAGGCAAAATGGCACTAACAGGAAATTTACCATTTTTCAAGATTTTGGAGATCATTTCGTCCGGTCCGGTGGCGGAGGATAGTTTCATATTTTCATTCATGTGAAGAATTCCGCTGGGCGTGATTAAAATCGGGGGCAACGGTTCTGAAATTACTGGATGTGAGGAGAGGGAGGGGTTCATATCTGCTTCTGTTGTGAACACTGAAGAAAACGCCTTGTTCACTGTGTTAGCAGTGCCACTATCGGTTAGTTCAGCGTTCTTGTCATCATAGACTGTTATCTTGATTGGTGGAGATAGGTTGACGGCCTTCCAAAATTGCTTGGGGTTATTTTGTTAACATATTTGTTGGTGTTATCTCGAAGAAGGTTCGTTTAGCAGCGAGAATAGTTCTTGAAAGCTTTTTTACTGCACTATGGTATGCTTGCCACGTGAGTTGATCATTTCTGGCCATTGATTTCCTAAACAATCTTTTCTTTCTACTTATTTTTTTAATTGAGTTAGAGAACGATGGCGCTGACTGTTTGCTTTGAATAGTTACCATTGGAACATACTTGTCAGTTAATTCTTGCATATTATCCGAAAACAGCTTCCAGTTTTGTTCTACTGAGCGGTTGCAATAACCGCTCAGTAGTTATGTTCAACTGTTATCAGGAGGTAGCGCCACCTCTGACATATATAAATACGACACTCACTGAAATAAAGCTGTTCTTGTGCGGTATGGGTTGAGTGTGTTCGTTGTCTTCAGCCACGCCGTGTTGCCGACGGTACAATTAGCTACCTCACGGTATACCGATACCATTCGTACGTGCATTAAGCTCTGCAGCAAATGTGGCCGTGACTGCAATGGCTCGCTTGAGGTCAAGCTTTCACGTGCATTCCAAGGTCTTCAGTGCTTGTCCTGATGCGGTGCCGCGGCTGCAATGCCGTCGCTCCGGGGCTCGCAGCCGAACCACAGTATGGGTGGGCCATCGTACACTGACCTCTGCAATGACACGGTCACGAGATAACTGGTAGAGCGATTGATGTAATGTTCAGGTCATGCGAGACGTATTAGGTCTTTCTACAGACGATGCGGCCCTCCACAACACGAAGCCGTTTATTAAAGCTTCTTTCGAGGAGAATGAGGGGTAGAGAAAAAGGCATGTGTATGAAGGTTTGAAAGTGAACCGCGTAGAGGAAATTCAGTAAGGAATGCAGAGAGAAATCTCAAATTTTACAATTTTTTTGCCGAGTAACCTACTTACGACCGGTAGGCCGCCGATTGTAGAGTTCACACAAACTTACCACCTCTCTCTATTTCTCTGTCCTTCTCTAAGAATATAAGTTTAACCAAAAATCAGACAAGGCCACATGTGACTGGGCGCCTGACACACCCGCGCTACGCGATGCTGCAAGATGCTGGGGCAGTCACGACACATCGCAGCGGCTGCCGTGATTATGTAGTGAACATTGTCTCAAATCAGGCAATGCTAGTGTATTTCGACTGTCTGAAGCATTTGATTTCGGGTAAACAAGTCCCCTGCCACGTTCCAGACTAAAATGTTTGGCTCACATGTTCGCACGAGTCTTGACTACCGATGAACAGAATTTTATCACATCCTCTCAAAGCGTCGCAGGACTCCTTTTGCGTCTCGCCTTAGGGTCATCATGTCCTTCGCATTTCGGTGCTAATATACATTGTAACGAAAAGCTAGCCTTAGCCGGGTGGTTTAGAACAGCATGGATATTTACGGAATAACAATGAACGAGAATCTTCATGTTAAGCAAAGATGAAGCCTGAACACAAGTACATTTTTATACTTCGATGTAGGGATCAAAGCTAGCTACAATGAACAGTTAACGGATGTAGAGCACAACGGGAAATTCGAATCTGTGCTTTGTTAAGACAGGATAGTAATAATTCATTATATCACTGTTTCGGTTCAAAGGCCTGCTACACATTCAAAATTTTCATTCAAGAACTTGTGGCCAGACCTTATTTACCAAGCGCACAAGAATAGCTGAATGTGCGCTTACCCTACTAACCCGGTCCCACCAGCTGCCACGTGTGACGATGTGCGCCATGCTTCTGCTGCTTCCAGGAGAGGAACTCAGAAAGTGCGGCTCGATGCGATGACCTCTGCGGCGGAGACTTTCGGCTACTTCCTCAGGAAACCCTTCTTCCAGATATAATGGGTCACTTAAAGAAAAAAAAAAAGGGGAGGGGGGGGGCAAGCGTCAGGAACGTGATCAGTTCACCAAGTGTATGGCTATATTGCATCCTCAAAAAATGCTAAACAATCTTCTTTTTTTGGTAACATGCTCTAAACATATTGTGGCAGACACCACGATTTTCGATGCTGAAGGCAGGCCCTGTTTCATGTCGTTTTTCGCCTTTTTCTTTTAGTATATATTGTCAAACTTGCATATTCACTTTTCATGTGATCAGATTTCACCCACAAAAACTACTACCGCTGCTTAACGCATGCTATGCCACAACTTTTGGAGATTTTGCTTAAGATCATTCTGTCAAGATTACGCTAAGGTCACGAGTAACCAAGTTTACCCTACATCTAACGCGAGCATGTAAAACAACCGATGCATTCCACAGATAAGAAGATTACCGAAGTCTTCGCTTGCCTGTTTCGCTGCGCGTTAAGTGTTGTTGCTCTTATTGGGCACAAGATAGTCCTATAAATAGTATAATCTCTACCAGCTGTGTTTTACCCTATTCCCTGTCACAACCACGTGACAATATCTATCTGAAACCAATCTTGTGTACATAATATTCACTGATTTAATATTTTTTTTAGTTCACAGTGGTTACACAAAGTTTTTTTTATATGACACCAGAGACATTGTGAGCTATATGGTAGCTTAACTACATGACACCATAGTTGTACAGCATCAAATATATTATTTTATTCAGCTTTTTTGAAGAATAATACTTATTTGACCTGGACATAGAGTTGGTGAGAAGCACCAGAGAACTTCGCTCGCACAAGAGGAAGAAAGACAAAGTCGCCAATGAGCGATATTCGCACGGAAGGCGCGCGGCTGCCTATTACATCTACAATCAATTATTGTGGCTATTCAATCACAGGTTTAAGTATATTTTCTTGTGTAATCTTTTCAGTTAGCTAGTGTTAGTCTTACAGAGTACTGATATCAAATACCACCTACTCGAGCATTCAATGCACAGTGAGACTTCAGTATTGGTAATCTATAAATTCAAATATTTTTTATTGAAATAAATATAGTAAAGGAAGCAACTGTTGAACTGTAAGTGATGCAACGAAGATGAAAACAGGTTTTAAACTACACAGTTCTTTAAGGTTAAATTATTTTCATTCATTTCAGGTGAATTCATTGTTAATTTATTTAGGGTTCATTTATTTTTCATTTCGGCCCCATCAAAATGCCACTGCCGTGGCCGGAAGTCGCACCTACGCACTCGAGCATAGTCACGCGACACCATGCGTGCTAAGCTATACCACAGTGTTTAACTACCCGGCTCTTGTCTCGGAAAAAAAAATTAAACGACACTTGTCGGTGAAATTTGAATCGCAACGCATCCAGGGGTGAGCCCATGCTTTGTTTTGGGGCAGTGCATTCAGCACAAGAAGGATTAAAGAAAAATTGCTGCAGTGGAAGCTCCTGCAATGCCTTGCCAGCAGAAGTGAAGCCGCCTTTTGCCACTGCCAAGATGGCGGAAACATGCTCTTTTCTGATAGTGCCCACTTAATGATCAAGTGGCTTTGATACGTTATGTAAATGCTACGTTAGTTCTATATTAAAGGATAGTTGTTCCCGACGAAATAACACACAGAAACAAGTATGGATGACTGAATCTTCAAAGAACTTTGCCTCCAATTAGAGGCTCATTACGGAAAACTAGTAACTTTAAGACGCACTTGGACCACTATGTGGCCCAAAAAAGTTCCCGCATTAAACTCGTTGGGCGTGCGAGGGAAACGCTTCGTTTTTAATCGCTGAACGGTGATACTTTATCATGCCCCTGGTAAGATGGCTGCCACAACTACCATCTTGCCAGAGAAACGGCTTCACTTCTGCGCAATCATTTTCACTCCAGCAATTTTTTAGTCCTCCTTGATTCAGGATTACGATGTCTACCTAGCAAGCGAAACAGCCATTCGACTTTGCCTTTAAGGGCAGAAACCCACTCAGACACAGGATGCTTGTCTGATCCCTCTACACATAGGATGAGGTTGTATGCTAAAACGTTTCTACCAACTTGCAGCTAGCACTGCACTCACCTCGACATTCACTCAAGGAAGTGTAAAAAATGGAGGAGGGCATGAAGTGGGGGTATGTCAAAACTTTCGACAAACTCACTCCACCCTTAAGGTTCTGGCATCGCCGATGTACAGCCTGGGTGCATCCAGCGCCGACTGTGGATCGAGGCCGCCTTCTAGCATGGCGAGGAAGATCTGCAGGTCGACCTGTGGCTGCGTGTATCCGCCCATGGTGCCCAGTGCGGCTAACCAGTCACCGCTTGCGTCGTCCGTCACAAGCACGGGCATCAGTGTGTGGTAGGGCTTCTTTGAGGGGCCCGCACAGTTCGGGTGACCCGCCACGGTGCTGAACCCGCGGCCACGGCACTGCAGTACGACGATGTGAACTTCATCATACATGCGATTCGGTGTCTGTCCTGCCATGTGCTACAAAAAAGCGTCAAATGAACTCGGGAATAAAGGTATTTTCCACGCACACGAAGTGTGCCGAGGTTAAGTATTTTGCAATAACCGTGGCTGCATGTGATGGGTGCTCATGCCCACGTAACAATTACATTTAGTCCCATGGACCGGACTAAGCTGTCCGGTATCCACGTGGCGTCATACCAGTTCCCAAGCAGTCCGATGATGCAAGCAGTAAACGAGATTATGTGCTTGGGCTTTTAACTGTGCAGTGAGACCTAAGCAAGGTCGCTATATACCTCCTTTCCTGTGTGTATAGGTTTGTTTTAGACAAGCAGAATTGTGTCAAAGCTTTTGGACTAGAGTGCCCCATCGCTACCTGTACGATTCGGGCACAGTTCGGCATATGAGGTTACCACATTTTTGTAAACGCAAAAATATATCCACCGTAAAAGAGAAGGAGAGAGAACGAACGAGTAGACATGTGCACATATTAAGTAGGTGCATATCCGATTGGCTACAATGCACAAGAAGAGAGAATATTGGGAAACAGAATAACATCAAAGAGAAAAACATATCGAGAACAACGAAGCAACCACGTACACCAAGTTGTATGTAATCGATTAAATATAATCGATTACTTGCATTCTGTTACGTTTTTGGCATCATTAGATTAACATTTTTGCAATGAAATGGACATTTATTCAACTTTATGCTTTTTTTGTCTATAATCAATTACATGTAACCGCTACATTATTCGAAAGGCAGTAGCAAAAGATTGCGATTCTAGCTAGAGTATTTGGCTCACACAACAGTAGCGTGCCCGCAGCTGTAGCACGTTTTGATATACAAACTTTAACGCACTGCACTTGTTTCCTCACCTTACGCAGGTCACGCGGCCTCTACTGTCTGCACTGTATACGGTATGGTCTCTCTGTTCAGTAATCAATCTATTTCTCCCGAAATTCATTCTATAATTTTGCCTACAGGCCCCATCATTTGAACCGTTCGGGCACCATAAAAAGTCTTGGCACAAATACCATGTACGTGGTACGTGTAACCACACGCTCGATAGTCTAGTGGTCATAATGCTCACTCGAAGGTCACGGAATCGAATTCCGCCAGCAGAGGTCGCATTAAAATTGAGGCGAAATGTGAGGGGTCCATGTATCTTACTTTAGAAGCACGGAAGAACCTCGGGCAGTCACAATTTCTGGCTCCCCTCCCCCCTCTCACACTACGGCATCGCCCAATCAAATTGTGGCTTTGGGACGAAGCAAAACCCCAATTGCTGTTCAATTAGATTTTTAATTTCGATTTCAGTTCTAACATGCAACCCCGCGAAGTGATGCTCCGTAGCGCGCCTGCTTGTTTCGCGAGCAACGCTGCTAAGGGGCGCTACGCAACTCCATTTTTCTGTCTTTTCATCATGTACCCAGTTGTGGTGCGTTTGTACAAGACTTGCTCGGGTAATATAATAGTCAAGAAACTTTGCCCTTGAGTGGGAGGTCCCTGCAATAATACAAAGCTCGGCCAAATGGAGTGGTACATTGGCATGTTAACTGGGCAACTTCCTAATAAATAATAATTGAAATGTGTAAAACCATTTTAGGGGGTTTTACAGGGCCTAGTTTCTTTCCGTGCATTCCGAAATCTACGTATTGTGTTCAATCAAAGCACTTAACTACGGGAGCTTCCAATATGCTAACTTTTTATCAGTGTGAAAAATAAAAGAAAGAATATCGGTCAGAGAACATCGACTCTATAGAACACCGCGAAATGCACACTAAAACATACCAAAGACGGACATCATATGGAGCAATGTCGCTAACCATGCACCTACACACTCGTACATGTAGCGATGATATTATGACCTGTCATTCAGTGATTGTGATGATTTTTTTTGCTCTGGGTTATTTAACAATAAATAAAAAAGAGGTGTATAATGAAGGGCTCATTCTATTTGTTAGACACAGTACTAATGAGAACAGGCAGTGCTTCAAAGGAATGTATAGGAGGTGTTATATGAAGTAATTGTAACGTAAATGCCAGGATATAAGATTGGACGAAAAAAGTGCATTACACCGGTATGATCCAAACCTGCTACCTTCGAATAGCGTGTCCGATGCTCTTTCACTGAGCTATGGAAGCAGTCACCTATCCGTCCACTTTATAGGCTATATGCGCATTTAACGTGGGAGCGTCAGTCAGCGCCTCCAGTAACCATGACAGTGAGTGTGGCAACCTTTCTTTTTGTATGTTGGCGTCACGTAGAACGTTATCTTACTATGGGCTGGCAGCTGACCATTATTCCCTCGCATACTGTCTCAAAGCATTAAGTCTGGCAGAACGAAACCCTCGCTATGAATGAAGGAAAGAAGTGTAAATTTAAGAGTTAGTTTTCGTTGTCAGACACAATATTAATGGGAGACAGCAAACAACGATACCTACGAGATTATTGAAAATGTTATTGTAAATAATTGTAACGTCAATGTGAGAAAAAAAAAGTGGACAAAAAATTGCTTGCCACTGGCAGAGATCAAACCGGCCCATATATACCATAAATGTAGGTGTATACCTTTGAAAGTGAACAAAGGGACGACCACGACCACCACCGTACGTCAGTGGTAGAGCATCGGACACGTTATTCGAAGGTTTCTGTCTCTGTCGGTGGCATCTAATCTTTTCGTCCACATTTATTTCATCATATTAACATTACAACTACTAATAACGTCCCCTGTACTTTTTCTGCCAATATTGTCTGTTAGTTCTCACTAATATTGTGTACAACGAGTAAAAACACCAGCCCTTAAATTTAATTGATAGATTTGATATGTGAGGTTTAACGTCCTAAAACCACCATATTATTATGAGAGACCCCGTAATGGAGGGCTCCGGAAATTTCAACCAGCTGGGGTTCTTAAACGTGCACTCAAATCTGAGCACACGGGCATACAAGATTTCCGCCTCCATCGGAAAGCCTGAAAGAAGGGCAGAGCTCCGTCGAAAATGCAGCCGCCGCAGCCGGGATTTGATCCCGCAACGTGCGGGTCAGCAGCCGAGTACCTTAGCCACTAGACCACCGCGGCGGGGCAGCCCTTAAATTCACGCGTTCCTCCATTCATAACCCGGTATATATAGCGCAGCAAGAGGGTGGGACACGGAAGTGAAGGTGACCGTGGAAAAAGCAGAAAGGTGGGGGGGGGGGGGGGGTAGACACAGCATAACCAAGTATAGTATAGCAAGGTTGGTAGACTGCAGGGAAGGTGAAAAAAATACAGAAAAAAACACCACCAGCCCCCCTGTTTCTTTCATCTTTGAATTACTAGTGTGCAGCAGCTGCCCCCTTTTTTTTTTATCTCTTACCCCCCCCCCCCCCCCAAAACCAAAAGGATACCTAAAATTCAGCAAAATTTTGTTTTACAGTGTGTGTGTCTTGTAAAGCACTTCAAGGGTGCTGGATGGTTTGCAGCACGATGCATCAATTGTTAAGAAAACAGTGGGCATAATGAAAAGACGTGAAGCAGATCCTATCCACGGCAATTTTTTTTCTACCATTTTATTATCATGTGTGCTCCTGTATTTCCACCTCTTAATCTTCACCAGTCGAATTCATCGCCAGCAGAAAACAGCATACTGGCAGTAATCTTCTAGGAAACGTGATAAAGATTGCTCTTCATTATTAAAACGTATTTCGTAGCGAGAGGCTAACGATGGGGCATATTAATATTGCGGTGGCGACAGTGCCGACAGATTGCCTTTTGCGGTGGCGAGCACTAATAGCTGTTTCAAGAAAAATATGACTGCAAATTACGGCGCATACCAAAACGTAGAAATAGCTTCTTTAGGACTTACATGGACACTGAATCCGTACTGCTCGACAATTGCGCATCCGAAGCCCAGGAAGTTGCTGTTGATGAAGGAGCAGGCGTTTCCTCGCTCGTCGGCTGCTACCAGAAAGACTGTGTGCGACTGCTCCGGAGCACATGGCCAGTCCACTTCACTCCAATGCAGGGCGCTGTGGAGACAGTAGCGTGTCTTATTCAGATATCGACGCCCCCGCTGAAGCACGGATAACGGATAAAGACCAGAATCACACAGACTGATCAATCACATGCACTTCCCGTCGGCAGTTCGGCTGATAAGTGTTATGATTATACGAATTCTCAGTGACAAGCTCAATGCTTTCGAGTGTGAATTGTGTATGTATAATGCACGTAGCTCTCTTGCTGGAGTTTTCTTTTGTTGAAAATTGGCTTTTAAACAAGGCTGAGCTTCAAAATCTTTGTGACACATGTCGTTTGTGTAGTATACGACATGAAAAGTGTAACTTCAAGTCACTTGGCAGAAATGTCATAGAATGCAAGCGTAAACAACATGCAGCATGGGATAGGATTCGACATATTACGAAAGTGAAGCATGTCTTCAAAAAGATAGTTGAGCGTTCATTGTGCAGTGTTTGATGATAAGGTCGAAAGGAATGAATGCTATAGCAACAAATTGTAGTGACACGCGAACAACGGCAAGGCACTCGAAACTTGCGGCACATTCCTCAAGCAAATGGACGCTGAAAAGAACATACACAGGTGGGGCGCGAGCTAGCATCAGGCCGACACTTAGAGCCATCTGCTCAAACGCAAACAAGCACGCACGGAAGTATATATACATGATGAGTACGAATTAACCGTCGGAATTGTTACTAGTGTACGAGCAGCTCTCTCTTTTGGAAGCGTAGCCGCTGTAGCAAGTAAGTCTCTGTAATTTCAACTCACACTTGCAGTGAAAGCCCGAGACGTACAAACTATCCTCATCCCGAGATAAGCCCACGCACACGAGCAACCACGCCCTGATGGGTGCGCGCGCGCATCGCTACGCGCGGAGTAAGGACTTTGAAGGCATTTCCTATGGATGGCGCCACTTCGTAAGTTATCACAATAACATGCTGAAGTCGCCAATCTCTGAATACCGCCACCGGTAAATGTATATATGAATAACTCACCGTTAGCAGGCTGAACATCGCTTCGTGCTAAACATCGCTTCTTGCCTGAGTCGGTTCGGCCACACGCTGCAGAACCAGGGGTCATAGGTTGGTAGGTAGGTGATGAAACTTTGTATATAGCTATAGGAGAAACGAAAAAAATCCCAGCATATCCTATAGAGAGAATGATCATGAGTGGGGCGAAGCGTCCATACGTGCTTCTGTCCATCTGTCCGTCCATCCGTCTGTCTGCTCGTCTGTCTGTGTGTATGTGCACCTATCCGTTCGTTTGTGCGTACGTTCGTCCGTCTGTCCATCCACATATTTGTCCATGCATGCGTTCATTCATCCGATCGCGTTCGAGAATGCAGACGTCGCATGGACCACACCGAGGAGATGCGAGCCAACGATACCGAGCGCAAGCGTCTTCAACGCGCCCGCCGCTGTGCTTCGTTGATGCCCCACCAACGATTCACTAAGTATGGCGTTCATCCAGGAGACTGAGGGAAGCATGCCTTCCTCGTGCGCCCACGTACAACCCGCGCAGCAGCTTAATGAAGAGTAGCAGTACAGCGCCAATTAGAATATCCCCACTCAACTGCAGTTTTTCTGTACTTCTATGAGACAGTGCCATCTATTGTACTCTGCGTGAGATACTGCCTTCCCTTTTTTCTTGTCTCTTCTTTTCTCAGTTAATCCACACGCAGTACAAGGATTAGACTAAGAAGAGCTTCGCCCTCTAATCTGTCCTGCAGCGTTTTCATGAGCATTCTTCATTAGCTGTACTATCAGTTACGTCGTTCTCAGTGTCGTACCGAAGTATGCGCGCCATTGGTTCCATTGTGAATGACGCCATCCATCTCGTCGCAGCCGGGGCGCTGAGCACTGTTACGAAGACGAGACGCCAACGCGGTCCCAAAGGCTCCACTGCTCCGAACTCCACCGACACGGTCACAAGCCGTTGGTAGCGTGTGTTACTCAGCTCGCGACTGCGTAAGCGCAGAGCTAATAGACGAGCGGACGAGACGACGGTGAGTTAAGGCAAGGTTTATGTACAGCATAGAAATAGAGGCGTTACAAATTCGGCACTGGGACTGACAGCTTAGGGACTTGAAGAGCCGTGATATCTTCTTTGACACATAGGTCTACTGCTGGCGACGCGGCGCAGGGCTTTTTTTAGGCACCGGGTAGATCCTTTGAGTAACCAAATGTCCAACCAGAAGCGCCGCTGGCCGTGATGTCAGAATCCTCCAATGAGGCCCGCCACCGCACGTGGTTGCACCAAGGACGAGGGATGTTGCCACGCAATGCGTAAGACTCGCCAGACTGGAAGGCGCCGATTGCTGCGCGTAGTTGCAGCCAAGGACGAGTGACGTTCCCACGCATTGCGTAAGACTCGCCAGACTGGAAGGCGCCGATTGCTTCAACGGGCTCGCGGGCTGAGGGAGCTCGCGGTGCGTTGCGTGACAAACCGGCGCCGCCACTTGATGACGTCGTTGAGTTGATCGCGTCAGGCGGGCTCGATGGCTGGCCTTGACACTGATTGCCTTTTGCGGAGGCATTGACGTTCGGTGTGGACTCACAGGCATAACAGCACCCCCGCCGCCAGACAATACGCCGGAAAGACGAGCTGCTTCCACGAGGCTCGGATGTCGGGCGCGCTCATTCGCCAGGTCCCTCGAGGTTCGCCTCCAGGGCCATGGAGTGAATTTAGCTCCAGACTCCGTCCCGTGAACACATCCCACTCTTGAGGACGAATGCCAACTCCACTGGCGTGTCGCGACAACTTTCCGGCCAGCTTCGCTCGTCTCTTCAGACGATTTTGGTCTTAGCACTTGTCGATGGTTCTGCAACTTGTCAAGAACGGTTCGATAACAGACAACACAGGACACAAGCAAGTGCCCTCGGTCACCCGACAGAACACCAGACAAAGTATAGTACAACATATTCCTAGCTACGTGTCTATCGGAATTTCGTTCCCTCTACACCAAGAGGCCCATGTGGGACATAACACTCTTAAAATCAGAACTAAAATTTTTACAGTTACAACAGAGTAACGAAATAGAATACAACATAAAGTTGGCCCCTTGAAATCATTCTGGAGGAGAGCGCTCAGCTAAGGCCATGATGAGGACAAAATTTTGCCCCGACTTGCCAGCAAACGACCGAAAGGAGCTAAACCGCACGGCTCAATGTGTCTGCATTAGCGTTTAGCTTTCGTTTTTTTTTGTAACGAACGTCAAAGTTGCGCTGCTGGAGTATCATGCTCCACCTAAGTAACTGGCCAATTTTAGGCGACGACACCTATGTGGTACCAAGAACTGCTCATACTTGCGAAGTTGCACATCTGTGTAACTACAATGTAGGAGTCCTGATTCCTCATGAAAAGAAACATCATTTTTCTTGGTTCCCAACTTTCCGCTTTCCGTTAGCGCTTTAATCGAGTGGTCCTCACGCTGCTCTTGAATGAGCGTTTTACGATCAACCGTCGACAGCTCACTCCGACTTCCCGCTACAGGCGAGAGTGTCAGCTCACTCAAACTTTCCCCTACAGGTGAGAGCGTTGAACCCTTCTCGCTCTGACTAAATGGCGCCATGTCGTCTCCTCCACCGACACAGACCGCGCCAGTCGCTTCGGCGACGGGCTGCTCGAGTGACTGCTCAAATGACTCGCACGGAAAATTTCCTGTCTGAGGTTTCGTCGACTCGCCACCAAGGTCACACAGATCAGCAGTTTTGAACTTGGTGCTTCACCACATTGAACAAGATCAAGCTCCTGCGAAAGCTTCCGCGCTTGCGATCACGTGAGGGCCATGTACGCTAAGTGGGAGAAGAACGATTTACCCTGCTCTTTGAGAAGCTGCTCTGAGTTATTAGAAAATAGATAAGGAAAACGATCAGGAATCTTCGGCAGACACAGTCGCTTCGGTGCTAAGCTTACCAAACGGGCCTTCAATGACAACCGTAGCGATTTGTAATCAAGCACTCTGCTCCTCGGCGATTTGTCTGATCCACGCGAATTCTCCTGTAATGTCATCCGGGGACACCAACGAAGGATGGACAACGTCCATGATTGCCGCTGAGTCTCGAAGTGCTCGACATGTTTTCCCATCCACACTAATTTCTTGGAGATACGGCGCTAACAACCGCATGTTCTTTTCCGATTCTCGGATAGTTACGAAAGCAAACTTTTGCCTACAGTTTATCGCGATGTGTCCTTCCGTTCTGAAGTTGTAGCAGATTAGCGGCTTCCGTGATTTAAACGCCCGTGTGGTATCAGTGCGTTGTTTAGGTACCTCACTCAATTGCTCCGCTTCCGTTTGCCCTTCCCCTACAGTGTCCTTCGTAAGAGACGGGTCCTTCCTGAAATTACGCTGTGGAGCGGGTTTCCGTTGATGAGGTTTCTTTGAAAAGCCCTCTTTCCTTTCATCCTTTTCAACGCGCACTGCCCTGCTATGCAACTTTCGGCGAGTATAATACTCCTCAGCTAACTCTGCCACCATGTTTAGCTGTACTTCACCAAGTTTATCCTGCAGCCAAAGCTTGACATCCTCCACGATGCAGTGGTAGAATTGCTCCAATGCAATACATTTTACCACTTTATCGCGATCGTCATAAACACCTTCGCCCTTGAGTCATTCATTTAAATTGGCTTTAAGACAAAACGCGAAGTCAACGTGTGACTCATTCCCATTTTTAGCATACCGGAACCTTTGCCTAAAAGCCTCGGGTGACAACTTATAGCGTCTCAAGAGCCTTTCCTTAACCTCGTAATAGCTCTCAAACACTTCTCTCTGCAAGCATGTTATCACGTCGGACACTTCGCCGGGAAAAAGAGCTAACAGGTTCTGCGCCCAAAGAGACCGCTCCAAAGCATTTCGCTCACAGACGTGTTCAAACTTGACGAGATACATCGCCTACTACGAACGGTGGCAGTTGGTCGCGAATTTTCTGACCGCTGACCAGAAATGTCGCAGAAGCTACGCTAGGTGCCTGCGAATACTCTAGAATTGCCAATGCTATTCGTTTCAACTCAAGGC